CAGTGACAGCGCCACCTAGTGGGAACAGGAAATGTCATGTTTTACACTTTGGGGTGCAGTATAGTGATGGGTAACCCGTGCAGTCTCAAATTTCTCCAGGAAAGCCTTAAGGAGTTGGTCTTGGGTTACACTGAAAAGTGTGAGTTTTCGCGAAACGGTGTGACCCCAGCAGCATGGCGAACATTGATGTCTCGCCATGAAGAAACAAATTAGTGTAACTAAAAAAAAGGCAGTCTGATCAGTACCAGACTTTACAGATATGATGACAGACCTGCCCTGAACAGATTGATATGCCCATTGTCAGGAATACGCAGAGCGCCACCTAGTGGGAACAGGAAATGTCATGTCTTTCACTTTGATATACTGATTTTCACAGGTTCATCAGGTCCACCTCAAAAATGGTGAATATTAACATCAGTCCCTGATGATGCTTCAGTTAGAAAATTGTGAGTTTAAACTGAATGGTGCACCCTGGTGGCAAGGCGGCTCACCATGAAAGATGAAGTGGCTTTTGAGGGACTTGGAAAGTTTAAAAACTCTTGAAATTTGGCGCAGACCTCCAATGCGTTGAAGGTTTTCTTGTTATGTGATCATTTTCATGGAATATTGTAAAATGGCTCCACAGCGCCCCCAACAAAATTTCAAAACATCAGCCCCTGCTCTGTGTTTCATCTATGAGTCTGAAACCTGGTAAGCTTATGTAACGACGTGATCTCCAATGCATGGAATCTAAAGACCTCTGTGATGTTAAATTGCGAAGCTTTTTATGTTTAGGGAAACGGGATGGTCAGGGCGGCACGTGGAGTTTCAATCATTCGCCAAAAAGCAGTAATCTGCTGTCACTCAAAAACACAATGTCCAATCTCATCCAAATGACGCACGCATGAGTCAAGAGTCAAGCTCAGAAATGTTTAAAAAAGCGATTTGTCAGTAATGGTTAGAGCGCCACCTAGTGGGATGGCTATAATCATCATTGATTCAGATGAAATTTTACCTGGTGGTTCTACACATGAATTCCATCAATGTGACATCAGATCGAACATGCTGGGTGTAGGTTTTGGGCGTGGCTCGACGCAACGGGGTGCGATGGCCCTCATAACGCTGCTTGCAGCTTTAATCCTGGTATTGTAAACACTCATCTATCTGACTGTGACCACTTTCTTCATTTTGTTGCCTTTCTTTAGTCCCAGTGTTCTGGTATTTGAACTGCCGTCCTTCAGCAGTACAGTATGAAGGATTTACTATTTATGTCTGAAAGCATTAAGTAGGGTATAATCCAGATGGGGCTTAATGTGCTGGACCGAACTGATGTAAAAATAGCAAAATCCAACAGCAGCCAGCACAGTTAGTGGACTGAAAAAAGAAAAAAAAAAAACTGAGAAAAAAAAGGAAAAATATTTAATGTAAAAGAGACCGAGTGGTGATGAAGAGAGGATCACACATCTGAATCGTTTCTCATTACAGCCATTTATTCAGTGATGAAAGAGGGAGCCATAGAAAATGTCATTAATCTGTGAATATGCCTGGAATTTTATCTCACAATATCAACATACCAAAAGGGATTTTTTCTGACAGTGAAGCTTAAAATACGTGCTGCTCAAACAGAAAGACCACAGCTCGGTTCCTTCATTAATGGTATTTGATTTTTATAAAATTTTCTTTCAACTTTAGATTCACTATTTGTATTATACAATGTACAAGTTCAGTCAGTTTGCAATAATATATATATATATATCTAAATATATTTAGTAATTTTTTATAAATGAAAAACCTTCCAGGATCTGCTCCAGAAGCTATTTACTGACAGCCAGTTTTAATCCCTCGATTAAAAGCTTATCTCACAAAAGCAGATTTCCACTCGATCTGCTGCTAGTTCTCTGTAATATTAAAACAGGAAACGGGGGATAATTTGTCTCACATTTCCCTTCAATGAGGCGACATTTGGGGAGAAGCTACTGAGTGCAGATGGGAGGCTTCAATGAAAAGCAGTGACAGGCGCCCTGAAGAACAGACGGAGCTACAGCGTTATTTGCATATTCTGCAGATGATCAAACCATTTGAGTTAGGGCTGGGCGATATATCAAGTTTTTAAAAAAATATCTATATATTTTCATACGAGATATAAGATGTGACAATATCGTTTATATCGATATAGTCTATGTTACGTTATAATTATACTTGTGGA